TGAGCAGCCTGGGGTCAATGGCTTCCTTCTCTGAGCTGGGCCCGGGGACGTCACGTCCTGGGTACTGGTTTCTTCCTCACCAGCCCTGGGGAGCACTTGGGGCCCATGCGTCCCACAGCCCAGCAGGCGGGGCTGAAGGTCAGGGAGGACACCTTTCAGGGAGAAGCCATGCAGGGAAGGGTGTGACGAGCAGAAGGAACAGAACGTGCAAGGCCTCACCCTCAAGAGGACCAGGCGTGGCATGGATGGGCAGGGGCCATAAGCACTTCATGGGCACCTGCTGAATGCAAGGCAGTCCTGCAGGACACAATGACCACCACAGGAAACATTTAACTGTCCCCAGGAGCAGGACTGTGTCCAGGGGACACTGAGAGCACTCACCTTACTGGGCAAAGAGGGCTTCCTGGAGGTGACAGTGCCATCCATGGTGGCGACCTGAAAATAGAGGACAAATGGGCAGAGGCGGGGATCTCCTGTCCAACTCTCTTTCAGGGTTGGCCTCCAGTGCTGAGTCCCGGCTCTACGACTTCCACTCCGTGGCCGTTTTTCATAAAAGCAATTTATGAAATTGCTTTTTAACTTATTATTATTTAATAAGAGTTATTAAAACTCTTAATGAAGCATTTAAAACGGAACCGATGAATGGGGCGTGAATAGTAAAATGACTGATAAATCGTTAATCCCTCTGGGACTCCATGGGGAGGCCCCTGGCCAGGCTCAAATGACCTGGGTGTGGCACTCACTGCTGTGTGACCCTGGGCAAGTGGCTGTGCCTCTCTGTGCTGATATTTAATTTTCACCATCACCATCTCAGGAAAGCACCTGACTTGCCCTGGGCCTCAGTTTCCCCTTGGGGACCACGGTCAGCCCCTCCCGCAGGGCTGGGGTGGTGTCGCGACTTCCTGTCCCCTGGGGAACGGCTATAGTTAGGTCCAGTACTTTTGGTATTTTTGTCTTGGGGACAGTGACCATGTCCCCTTCATGTACAGGGGACACAGCCACCTGACCCCAGCTGTCCCCCAGCCCCCCGAGACCCCGTTTCTCAGGCCAGCTGAGGACAGTGGGGGGGGGGCGGGAGGAGAGAGGTGACGACAGCCGGGCGTCACAGGACGGAAGGCTCGGGCGGGTGACCCGCGGATGTTTGTACAGGACGGACAGCCGAGGGACGAAGACATCCAGACACGGGGTCTGGACAGTGTCAGGGCAGCCGGGGTCACGCGGGGATTCAGGGTGGGGGGACAGCTGGGGGACGGGAGCCTTGTGACTGTCGCTGACCCCAAGCCTCAGTTTCCCCACCTGGCACTGAGGGACAGGACTGCGTTCTGGGGACAGGGACACCCATTGGCGGTGGAGGAGGTGGGTGACGCCGAGTCGGGGTTGGGGCGCCCTTTATGGCTTCCTCTGGGTGGCCGTTAGCGTCCAGCAGGTCACAGCAATAGGGGAAGTGATGCAAAACCCAAGGGGCCATGTCTGCAGGGCCGGCAGCACAGGCTGTGCCTCAGTTTCCCCATTTGCACGGGTGGGGGGGGAGGGTTTTGTTTTTGGTTTTTTTTTTTAATCAGGACCTGCAGGGCGGGACAGTCCCGGCCACGCCTCCTGGGGCTGCACAGAAAACGTCCTGCACGGTGGCCACCAGCCCCCTGTCCATCCGGTCTGCGTCACCCCATCGGCCATGCAGGGTCCCGGGTCCCCACGGGGGTTCCCCGCGCTCTTCCGTAAGCTACGCCGCTTCACCGTGGCCCACCCGCTGGGGTGAGCTGGACAGGGCTGGGCTCCGGGAGTGGACGGCTGGGGCAGGGACAGGGACAGGGACGGGACAAGGACGGGGGACAGCTTTGCAGTTGTCACCATCCGCCCCCCCATCTCTTGTCAGTCTTTCCTCCACCCCTGTGCCCAGGGGACCGGACATTGTCCCTCTGCAGCTGGGAGGCCCAGAGCTGGACGGGTCACCTCCTCCCTGACCCTGGCGGCTGTCCTGGGAGGGAGGAAGGGAGTGGTGGCCCTAGGTCCCCACACTGTGCCCGTTGTTCCTGCTGCAGCAAGGAGGCCAAGATGGGGCTGTCACTCTGAGCCTTGGGTGACCACAGCAGGACTTGGTCAGTCGTGGGGCTTTCAGTGTCCGGTGTGTCCTCCTAGGACTTGGCCCAGCGCTCTGGGTTCGAGTCCCGCCTCTGGGGAAGCAGCAGTGACCTCACCGGCAGTGAGTGGGTGGAGGCTGGAGTGGAGGCTGGGGCTTCTGGGTATCCTGCATTCATTTGGCGCCAAACGCATGCGCATTGTGCAGTTTGGGTCCCAGAGGATCAGAGACTGATAGTCCTTTCCCAAGGTCACACAGCCAGGCGGGGACAACTCGGGGTGAAGATGGGAGGGAGGGGCGCGTCTGTGGCCCTGATGGTGACAGTTCCAGAGTCCTGGTCCCAGACACCAGGGCGGACCAGCCTCCTTCCCAGGGCTCCCTGGGAGTTGAGTGAGGGGGACTCAGGGGCGTCCGGGGAGAACCGCACCCTGGTCCTCAAAAGTGAACCAGGAGAGGGCAGGTCCGCCGCGAGTTTGAATCGAGACCCGGGACCTCGGCGACTCCGTGCCTCAGTTTCCCCGTATGGGCAAGGGGCCACCCACGTCATGGAATCACCACCTGACCCCGTCACTCCCGGCTAAGTTTAGAGCAGAAAGAAAAACAGCCTCCCCTGTCCCAAGAAAGTCCCAGCCCGGCGCTTAACCCTTAACGTCCGGGATCAGGATTCGAACTCGGCATCCGGGGACAGGGGATTCGAACCCAGCCTCCTGCAGCCACTAGGGCCTCTCTTTTTTCTATTCGTCCCTAGGCGCGCGCTTTTCCAGTTCTGGGGAGAGGTAGATGAAGGGGTAGGGATCACCACCCTCAGTCATCCCCCGTCGGAGGGCAAGTTTGGGGCACCCACTGTCCCCCCGCAGCGTCCCCCAGACTCCCACCATGCGCACTGCGCACCCGCGGCCCCGGCCTCTATGCGATATTGAGCCCCGCCCCTGTGTGACGTCACGGGGCGAGTTAACCCGAGCACCCGAAGGAACTAGCGGAAGGCACCGAGCGTAGCCGAACTTACCCGAGCGCGATCGGACTAAACTGAATGGGCCAGTCCCTGCCCGAACGCCGCCCGAAGGAAACCGAGCGCGACCAGGCTAAACCGAATGTTTACGCCCTGACCAGAACGCCGCCCGAACTTACCCGAGCGTGGCCGGACTTAGCCGAATGCCACGAACTCTCCCCAGTGTTATCGGACATAGCCGAATCTAACCGAACTCACTCCATGCAACTAGTAGTGACCCTGTGAGACCCGAGCGAACTCAGGCAGGACTGTATTTGGCCGAGCCGGACCGAACCCTGCAGGCCCACCCCCCACTGCCCCCGCCAATTAAGACAAATCTTGCTGCCCTGTCCTCTGAGCCTGCTGGTGGGTTTGACTCTGGCTTGTGAACCGGGATGGAGTAAGGTCACTAGGGGACCAAGCCCTCTGTCCAGTCAGGGTGTGGCCAGAGAGAAGGACAGGTGGTGGGAAGGTGATCGGTGCTGGGCCATTGGGCACAGCTTGTGCAAAGGCCCTGAGGTGGAAGAGAACAAAGCATTCAAATTAAGAGGAACAGGGGGCGTGGCCTATGGGTTGGGGGTGGAGCCTGGAGGCTTGTGGGCGTTGCCAGGAAACCCAAGGGTGTGGCCAAGCTGGTTGTGGGTGGAGCCTAGTTATTTGTGGGTGTTGCCAAGAAACCAAAGAGCATGGTGAAAGTTTTTGTGGGTGGAGCCTGGAAACTTGGGGGCGGTGTCAGATGGCCCAGGGGTGTGGCCAAGATGGCCGGGGGTGGAGCCTGAGCTCGCCACGCCCACATTAGTGGCCAGGTGGCTGAGGTCCACAGAAAAGAGACCTGCCCAGGCCACATGGACACTTTGGGGAAGGTCTGGAACTCACGTCCCCAGTGGGAAGGACTCCAGGCAGAGTGGGAGGTGACGGGGGCATGGGGTCCCTGCGAGGGTGCAGCTGTGGGGCAGATGGACCAGCTGTCTGTCCCCTGTGACACCAAGGAGGACGCTGCAGGACAGGTGCAAACCATCACCAGGGGCCCCGCTCGTGGACCCCTGTGCTCTAACCGCTGTCGTGTGTCCTCTGCCTGCAGCTTTGACGTGGAAAATGGGGTGCTGTGCGGGAGAAGCGCCCTGGACCCTCAGGTTGGGCCTGGCCTGGGCCGCGTCCACCAGGCCCCTGCCCCGCACAGCCAACGGCGCGAGTCCTTCCTCTACCGCTCGGACAGCGACTATGAAGTGTCACCGAAGGCCATGTCTCGGAACTCCTCTGCGAGCAGCGACCTGTGAGTCTGGGGCTGGATTAATGACAGACACCTCCAACGCCCTTCCTCTTCCCTTTATTTCTCCATCCAGCAGTCCTTCAAAGGGTCATTGGAACAAGGTTCCAAGTTTAAGTAGGAATTTGCCAGGCAGGAAATTTCCTTTAGCCTGGGTTGGGGACAGGAGTGGCTGTCCGGAAACACTGGGCCGAGAAACAGCGAGTGACAAATATTTTGCTTTGAGCTTCCTGGTAGCCAAAATGAAAAGAGAAATACAATCATTCTCTTTCTGATTCCGAAGACCCCTTCTAGTCTTGGGACTCAGTTTCCCCTTTTATAAAAGGCGGAGAAAGTGAGGGCTTTGGGGTGCAGGGGACCTGAGGGGACTGGGACAGGAGTCCTGAGGGGAGGGTGCTGACCCTGAAGAGCCATCTCCCCGCAGACATGGAGAAGACATGATTGTGACGCCTTTTGCCCCTGAGGGGAGGGTGCTGACCCTGAAGAGCCATCTCCCCGCAGACATGGAGAAGACATGATTGTGACGCCTTTTGCCCAGGTCGGTGTCTGCCCTCCCCGCCCCCTCGGTCCCCAGAGCCCCCACCTGAGCCCCTCCCACCGAGCCCCGCCCCCACCCGCGCCCCCACCGGAGCCACGCCCCCGCAGGTGCTGGCCAGCCTGCGGACCGTCCGGAGCAACGTGGCTGCCCTTGCCCACAGTCAAGGCCACGCAGCAGGCAGGTGCGCGGAGGGCGCTTCGGGGGCGGGGCCGCAGGTGCGGGGTGGGCGGGGCCTGGTAGAGAAAGGGGACCAGGTGGGGGCGGGGCCCTGCCAGGTCTGGCTTGGGCGGGGCCTGGATGGGATGGGGCGTGGTCTAGATTACTGGGGTGGAGCCTGAGGGCGGGGCTTTGGTGATGGGGCAGGGCCTGGAGGACTTGGGGGCGTGGCCTGGATGGTGTGGGCGGGGCCTAGATTTGGGCGTGGCCTGGATGGGCTGGAGGCGTGGTCTGGAGAGACTGGGAGCAGGGCCTGGAGGATCTGGGGGCGGGGCCTAGATGACTGGGGGTGTGGCCTGGAGTTCAGTGGTGGGGCCTGGGTTGTGGGGGCGTGGCCTGGCTGGCCTGGGGCGTGGCCTAGATGATCTGGGGCGGGGTCTAGATGAAAGGCTGTGCATAGGACGGGGGGGGGCCCTGCAGGTGTGGCCTGGATGGTGTGGGCGGGGCTTATACAGCCCTGGACAGAATGGGGGAGGGAGGATTGGGGTGGGGCAGATGGCGGGGTGAGCCAGCCCTGAGCAGGCTGCACCTGCAGGCAAGCACCCATTGCGAGCCCTCCACCCAGCAGTCAGCCTCCTGCACCTACAGGTAAAGCACCTGTCTGTCCCCGCCTGCAGACACTTCCTCCCTATAGTGACCGTCCTTTGGTGATCTCTCCGGTCCATGGGACCTTGCAATGTGGCTGCTGTAATCTGGTCCCCCACCCAAAAAAATCCCGTCCTTGCAAGTGAAATCCACCATGCCCACGCCACGGATGGGAGGCTGAGGCCCAAAGAGGGTCGCCCACCTGCCCATGGCCACACAGCCACCTGCAGACAGACATGGAACTGGGGTCCTGGTGCGGAGTTGGGGATACAGGGGTCCCGGGGACCCGGTGGGAGGGACAGGCCCCTGACCAGCCCGGCCCCCAGAGGACCCTGGGCAGCAGCTGGCACTGGAGGCGCTGGAGGAGCTGGACTGGTGTCTGGACCAGCTGGAGACCCTGCAGACGCGGCACTCGGTAGGGGACATGGCGTCCAACAAGGTGAGGACCAGGGGCTGCGGTTACCTGCTGCTGGCCATGGGGCAGTCCTCACTGTCCACCTCCCTCCTCCGCAGTTTAAGCGGATGCTGAACCGCGAGTTGACCCACCTGTCAGAAACCAGTCGGTCCGGGAACCAGGTGTCCAAGTACATTACTCGGACCTTCCTGGGTCAGTGTCCATCACGGACTTCACCGTGGGGTGACAGAGCCAGATATAGATGTCCCCCATCCCCAGGGGTCAGTACGGGACTGGAGGGAGGAGCAGGGGAGCGTCCTGGAGGAAAGGACATGACAGCGAGGGTTTTGAGGCATGCGTAGGAGTTCTCCAAGGACAAGGTGGGGGGATATATTGAGCACCAGGTGCATAGGAGCCCTGCGCAATAAACTGGGTCTCCCCTGCTGCACCCCCAGACCAGCCCACCGAGGTGGAGCTGCCCAGCGTGGCCCCCGAGGACCCCCCACGGCCCATGTCCGAAATCAGTGGCCTGCACGGGCCTCCCGACAGCGACGGCCTCTCCATGGCCTCCGTCCCACGCTTCGGGGTCCAGACGGACCAGGAGGGACAGCTGGCGAAGGTGCGTCCCCCGTCAGGCTCTGTGTGGATGCCCCGCCTTGGGCCTCAGTTTCCCCACTTGTACCCAGGGCAGCTGGGGCTCGGTGAGTGGCCCGGCGTTGGGCTGAGCCTGCGGCCTCTCGTTTAGGAACTGCAGGACACGAGCAAGTGGGGGATGGACGTGTTCAAGGTGGCGGAGTTGAGCGGAAACCGACCCCTGACGGCCACCATGTTTAGCATCTTTCGGGTGCGTCCCCTGCCTTGGCTTCATGTCACCCCGGGACCCGAGGGGCAGCCCAGAAGAAGGGGTGTTGAAGGGTGCACAGGAGTTCGGTTGAGTGGTGGTCACTGGAGTCCTGTCCTGGCTCAGGAGCGGGGCCTCATGAAGACGTTCCAGATTCCGGGGGACACGCTGGCCACCTACCTGATGACGCTGGAAGGTCACTACCGCGGCGACGTGGCCTACCACAACAGCCTGCACGCCGCCGACGTAGCACAGTCCACGCACGTCCTGCTGGCCACGCCGGCCCTGGAGGTGCCGCTGGGGACACGGAGCAGACGGGAGGCGGGGAGGACACTGGGGTCCCCCTGGCCCTGACGCCCTGCACCCCTCAGGCCGTGTTCACAGACCTGGAAGTCCTGGCTGCCATCTTTGCCAGCGCCATCCACGACGTGGACCACCCTGGGGTCTCTAACCAGTTTCTCATCAACACCAGTGAGTCGGGGTGCGAGGGGCGACTGTACCCCGAAGTCTGCGCTGAGCCTGGTCCCCCTGGATTGGGTAGAAAGCTGAACAAGGCACCCCCGCCCTGCAAAGTCAGGGGATGGCTTTTGGAAGAAAGGGGCATGCGAGGTGGGGCTTCAACGCACGCATAGGAGTTGCGGCAGGATTTTTTTTTTTTTTTTTCTTTCCCCCTGGGTGGAGTGGGCGGGCAGGTCACCAGGCTCTGTGTCCCCGCAGACTCGGAGCTGGCACTCATGTACAACGACGTCTCGGTGTTGGAGAACCATCACCTGGCCGTGGGCTTCAAGCTGCTGCAGGGTGACAACTGCGACATCTTCCAGAACCTGAGCGCCAAGCAGCGGCTGAGTCTCCGCAGGATGGTGATCGACATGGTGACGTCACGCGGAGGGCGGGGCGTGGGCGGGTGGAGACAGGGGCGGGGCTACATTTCCAGCTGGTGGGTGTGGGTGGGTCATGGGCGGGGCTAAACAGAGGAAGGGGTGGGGTTTCCGCCCGTTGGTGGGGGTGTGGGCGGGGCATAGTGGGGGAAGGGGCGTGGCTTCCTTTTCCAGCCAGGGGTATGGGCCTGGCATAACAGGAAGGGGCGGGGTTTCCCGCTCAATCGGGCGGATGTGGGCAGGGTATGGGCGGGGCGAAAGAGGGGACGGGGCGGGGCTCTCTTTTCCAGCTGGTGCAGCATGGGTGGGGTGAAAACAGAAGGGGCGGGGCTTCCTTCTCTGTTAGCGGGGGTTGTGGGCGGGGCTCAATAGAGGAAGGGGCGGGGCCTTCCTGTTAGCGGGCTATGGGCGGGGCGGGGGAGGCCTAATAGAGGAGGGGCGGGGCTTCCCTTTCCAGCTGGGCGGGGCTTCAAGCCCTGATGAGCTGAGGACCAGCCCCGGGCCTCCAGCCTCCTGGCCTCCATGAGTGCTGTCCTCGGTTGCTGCAGTCCCGTCTGTAGTGACAGCAGCAGCCCCAGGACCTTTGCACAGCCCACGTCCTAGAGGATGAGACCGAGGGTCTGAGTGCAGGCAGTGGCGTCCCCCTAGGTGCTGGCCACGGACATGTCCAAGCACATGGGCCTCCTCGCCGACCTCAAGACCATGGTGGAGACTAAGAAGGTGACGAGCCTCGGAGTCCTGCTGCTGGACAACTACTCTGACCGCATCCAGGTGTGCAGCAGGACTTGGTGCATTTATGTAGCGCCGACTGTATGCAAACTGGAGGACGAGGCGGGTGGCCTGTGTCTTATCTTTTTTGGGGGGGACAGGGAGGCTGGTGGGCACCCCCTGAGCCTCGCCCGGCCCCCCAGGTCTTGCAGAACCTGGTGCACTGTGCCGACCTCAGCAACCCCACCAAGCCGCTGCCCCTCTACCGCCAGTGGACCGACCGCATCATGGCCGAATTCTTCCAGCAAGGTGACCGTGAGCGCGAGGCCGGCCTGGACATCAGCCCCATGTGTGACAAACACACGGCCTCCGTGGAGAAGTCCCAGGTGCGTGCCTGGCTGCAACCTTGAAGCGGTTATTTGAAATGGGTTTTGTAGGATGAATAGGAGTTGCAAGCGTCTTCCCAAGGAGAAGGAACAAGAAGCAAACCGTGAAGGCTGGGGTGGTTTTTGGTCCACTGTGAGTCACCATGTGCCTCCTGTCCCTTCCCTGTGTCACCTCCCAGGTGGGTTTTATTGACTACATTGTCCACCCTCTGTGGGAGACCTGGGCAGACCTGGTCCACCCCGATGCCCAGGACCTGCTGGACACCCTGGAGGACAACCGAGAGTGGTACCACAGCAAGGTCCCCCGCAGCCCCTCGGACGCCTGCAGCTGTGAGCGGGGTGGCCAGGACAGGTTCCAGTTTTCCCTGACACTGGAGGAGGAGGAGGAGGAGGACAAGGAGGGGTCCCTGGACTCCCACACTTAGCCTGTCCCCTGCCCTCTCCTGGCTTTCCCACGCACGGAGGTGGACACCCACAGGGTCAGGATCTGAGGAGAGACAGCTACCTGGCTTGGGGTCCACGGTGACCCCAGCCTTGGCTGGGGCTGGGCTGGGGACAGCTTCCCAGCTGCACTTGTGTCCCTGGGACAAAATTTTGGGGACCATTTCTGAAATTGTTGCAGTCACTCTTTCTTGTCTTTTTTTTTTTTTTTTTTTTGCTGAGGTTGAACCCAGGGCCTCACCTATGGCTGGTCACCAAAGCCACTGTGTATTTTCCCGTCTTTGATGTCTCTGGGCCTCAGTTTCCCTGCTGTGACCCGAGACAGCTCACGGATGGGGAAACTGAGGCCCAGGTGGCCTGAAGGGCGGCCCGTCGCCGCAGCGCCCCCGGGAAGCGCGGGCGGCCGGATCAGGTGTTGCACTGGACAAGCTGGGGTCCTGGGGGGGACAGCGACCCCAAAGATGGGTTCAACTCCCCAAAACCCCTATGTCCTCTGCCGGCCTTGACTTTGCAATCCATCGGCATGAATGCAGGAAGGGTCACAGCCATCTGGGGTCTCAGGTGACCTGGGGGGCGTGCAGGGTCTGCGGATTTTTATTAGGAACCAATAAAACATCGCTGAACCCCACTTCTGCACCTCTGGTCATTCCCTTTCAGTTTTTCTCCATTCCGATTCCTATGGTGGCATTGCACGGGTGCATGAGGCCCAGTCACAGATGTCCCTGTCCCTACTGGTTGCACCCGGGGTCCCGATTCCCACGCTAGGTTCCTGTCTGTGAGATACGGGGTGCGCGTTGGGGTTCCTGTCCCCCCAAGCCTGACTTTCCTGCAAGATTTGGAGGAGTGGCCCCCAAGTCCCCTGTCTGTGCGTCCCGACCCCGGCGAAAGGGGGGCCCCAACACCCCCAGCCATGAGGACTTGGGGTGACCCCCCGCAGGCACCTTCCCGGTTCTCACCGCAGGCTTTGGGGAAATGGGGAGCACGCTCCACGGAGACGGGGCGGGGCTTCGGGGTGGGCGGGGCGTATCGAGGCCACGCCCCTCGGGTATTCGCCCTAAGGATTGGACATGGTGCCTCTAGATCCCGCCTCCCTCTTTTTCTTTTGTATTTTGAGCCCTAAAACACGGGGGCGGGGCATGGAACCCGTCGTGGACCCCAGTTCCTCTTTGCTGACATTGGGAGACGTCCGGCATCCCAGGTGGGCGAGGCGGGGACGGAGGAGCCCCCAACACCGTCAGAGCCCGCAGGAAAGAAGCCAAGGCTTCAGCCACTCCGCCCTTCAGACTCCTGAGAGCCACCATTGGACCGGAGAGAACGTCTTAGGTCGCTGATTGGCTCACTCACCCGTCGCTCGAGCGCTTCAGCCACTGAGAAGACGCCCCGCAGCCCCGCCTCCCTAAGGCTCACAAGAGGCGGAACAAGACCTTCAGCCGCCCCGCCCCTTTCTGGATGCGGTCGTCCGGCTCCGCCCCATCCGCACGTCAATCTCTACGAGGAAGCCCCGCCCCTTCCTCCCTTTGCTCACGTCAGTGGTCCATCTCTCCATGCGCGGCCCCGCCCCCGATGTCGTCACGAGCAATTTGCATGCGAGGCCCCGCCCCAGTCTTTGCAGGACGTCAGCGCGGACTGCAGGGGCCCGAGCCGCTGCCGTCGCCGCCGCTGCCGCGCAGCCCCGCATCGCTCACGGGGGACCCGGTCACCGCCACCGCCGGGACAGTCACCGCCGCCAGCGTCGCCGTCACATCCATCGGCGCCGGGCAAGGTGAGCGTGGCGCTTCCGGGGGCGGCTGGGCTGCTGAGTGCCTGCTTAACCTTCATTTGACTGACGGGAGGGCGGCGGGGCGGGGCGGGGGCGCGGGGCCGCATGCGGGGTGCGCGCGGCGATCGGGGTCCGTCCTGGCCGAGGCGGAGGCCTCGAGGGCATAGGGTTGGGGCCGAGGGGGGGTGGGGTCCCCATTCTCCTGATTGTCACCTTCCCCGCACCCCAGCTCTGCGGCGGAGGGGGAGGGGAGGCGGCTGCGTGCGCGTGCGCGCGCGCCGTGTCCCCGGGCCGTGTGCACGCTCGCGTGAAGTGTGCGTGTGCGTGCGCGGTTAGGGGTGCATGCAGGGGTGGACGCGTGGACTTTGCGTGTGCATCCGCGCGTGCACACACCCGTGTCCCTGGAGCCGTGTGCACGCGCCCGCCGGGGTGCAGGGAGCCGTGTGCGTGCACACGCGTGGGTCCAGTGCGGGGATGGGCGGGTGATGCGTGCACGTGAGCCTGCCTGTGGCACGCGATGCAGCTCCTGGGCCTCAGTTCTCCCATCTGGGTTTCTTTTTTTTTTTTGTGGGGGGGGGTGAGGTGGTGGCTGGGGCGGGGGAGCTGCAGATGCGCGTGCCCGAGGGACTGTCCACGCGTGCGTGCTCTCAGCGGGGCCTTGAATGATCGCTGGGGGGCGGGGACGGATGCGAGGCGTCTCGGGGTACAGCAGGAGCTTGTGGGGTGCACACCTGTCCCCTTCCCCGCTTCCACCTTGGCCTTTCAAGGTCACAGCTCAGCTCGGTGCGGGGAGCTGAGCTCCTCCGCAGGCCTGGGCTGCAAAGCACACCGTGCTTTCCCTTGTCCTGTCCCCAGATGGCATCGGCCACGGACTCCCGCTATGGACAGAAGGAGTCCTCGGACCAGAACTTCGATTATATGTTCAAGATTCTCATCATTGGCAACAGCAGCGTGGGCAAGACGTCCTTCCTCTTCCGCTACGCCGACGACTCCTTCACGCCCGCTTTCGTCAGCACCGTGGGCATCGACTTCAAGGTCAAGACCATCTACCGCAACGACAAGAGGATCAAGCTGCAGATCTGGGTGGGTCAGGTGCCCTGGGTGACCCAGCTCTCTCCCTGCATGCGGTCACTCAGTCATCCACACACTGGGCACTTATGAGGCACTTACTGTGTACCAGGCCTGGAGGAACCCCGTTCCATCAATGGGACATCTTGAGTTTCCCCAGTTTCAGGTTCAGGCCCTGTTTTGTTAAAAGCTGTGTCCTTCCAGGGCCCAGTGTTGGGTGTGACACGGAATGTGTGGGTCAGTACCCAGCACGTGTTTGTTGAAAGAATAGTAGAGCGTTCTGCAAGTGATGTCACTCTGAGGGCTAATGTTCGTAGAACAGAGGTGACCCAGCCTGCTTTCTCTGTCCTCTGACACCTGACTGACGCTCTCCGGGCCTCGGAGGACCTGGACGGGACAGTCTCAGAGCACGGTTCTCCTCTCAGCCTCTCTGACCATGGGCTCTTCGTCCCCAGGACACAGCAGGGCAGGAGCGGTACCGGACCATCACCACCGCCTATTACCGGGGGGCCATGGGTTTCATCCTGATGTACGACATCACCAACGAGGAGTCCTTCAACGCCGTGCAGGACTGGTGAGTGCTGTCCCCGAGGGCCTGGGGGACAAAGGGGACGATGCACGAGTGTGATTTTCAACCTGGAGTTGGGGCGCAGCTCGGCGGGACAGCCCGTGCCCAGTGTGCAAGAGGCCCTGGTTCGCATCCCCGAGCCCTAGGACTTGCAGGTGACTGCAAAATCTGATGAATAAGCGAGCTGCCCGGATGCGGGGTCACTGGTGAGGAAATGTCAGAATTGGCTGAAGAGGGAGGGAGATCTGGGAGGGGTGGGGGTGGCTTTTAATGAAAGAGGGACTCTGGCCCAGTGTGGTGGCTGCGCCTGTGTCCTCAGCCCTGGGGAGGTGGAGGCAGAAAGGGGACCTGATCTCAGGAGGAGAGGGGTGGCCTTGAACCTCTGGTGACCTGGCCCCTCCCCTGACAGTGACCCCGCCCCCGACCATGGCTCCTCCCCTTTCCTGGCCACGCCCCTGGCCTTGGCTCCTCCCCCGACCGTGGCTCCTCCCTTTCTGACCAGTTCCATCTTGGCCCCTCCCCCATCTGGCCCCGCCCTCCGACCTTGGCTCCTCCCCCTTGCTAGCCCCTCCTCCAGACTGTGGCCCCTCCCCCTTTCCGGTCACTCCCCTGGCCTTGTCTCCTCCTCCTGATCGGCCATCACTGCGTCCCCCAGGTCCACTCAGATCAAGACGTACTCCTGGGACAACGCACAGGTACTGCTGGTGGGGAACAAGTGCGACATGGAGGACGAGCGGGTGGTGTCGTCGGAACGTGGCCGGCAGCTGGCTGACCACCTCGGTGAGTGCGCTGCAGGGCTGGAGGCCCACACACTGGAAAAGGGACTTGTCCCGCGCAGGTGTCACAATAGATAGGAAAAGGGAGTCACCAGCAGGTGACGGATTGACCCGTTCTGCAAAGTAGCCTCCAGCTGGGTCTTGAGGGATGTGCAGGAGTTCGCTATGCACAAAGTGAGCGATTGGGCGGTGCTGTGCTGAAAGGCTTTTATGGTTGCGGACCAGAGGACGATGCGTCTCCTGGGGTGTCTGGCCAGGGTGGACGTTTTAGGGTGGGGAAGGATGGGAAGGTCCGATGTCTTTTCTCAGAGCCCTAAACGAGCAGGGGTGGCCCTGAGTCTCCCTTCCCGCAGGAAGGTGGCTCTGGGAGTGGGAGGGGGGACACGGCCATCACTCCTCCCGTCCCTGGCCACAGGGTTCGAATTCTTTGAGGCCAGTGCTAAGGACAACATTAACGTCAAGCAGACCTTTGAGCGCCTGGTAGATGTCATTTGTGAGAAGATGTCCGAGTCCCTGGACACCGCCGACCCTGCTGTCACCGGCGCCAAGCAAGGCCCGCAGCTCACTGACCAACAGGCGCCCCCGCACCAGGACTGCGCCTGCTGAGGGTCGCCCCACCCCGCGCGCCCGCCCCACCCCCACCCACCCTATTTATTATCGTAGCTATTTATTTATTTATTGACGATGTCCCCCGCCCAGGGCACGGCTTCCGCCCCTCTCCACGCCCCACCCTGTACATACGGCACCCTGACCTCCCAGCTCTGCCGTGGCGTGTCATGGTCACTGCTCACCCTACTTTTGAGACCCCCCCCTTTTCTTTTTGTAACTTACACCTATCAGTTGTGAAGATTGGGCCAGATGACCCCCCAGGCCAGGCTGACTGGGTGATTGATTGATAGGAGGTGGCCCAGCCCTGAGCTGTGTGGCGGGAGTCCGAGGCCACTGCTGGGGCGGGGTCTCTCTGTGGACCATGAGGTCAGAGTCCAGCACCCCACTTGCTGGGCTCTTCTCCCCAAAAGTTTCCTCTTTGGGGTGGGTTGGGTGCTGGGGGTGTATTCACCACCTGAGACCCCCCCCAGACCTGTTGTGATGTCATCAGTGTCAACTGTGTCCCCCACGTCCCTAGAGGCGTCATGACCACACCACACACACTCCAATAAAGTGAATGGACCACGCGGTGCCCCTGTGTTCGGCCCCGCCTACTCCAGCCAGGCCCACCCCTTGCCCCCGTGCAAACCCAGCCCCGCCCACCACTGCCTCCGGGCCCGCGCACCTCCGCAAGCCACACCCACCGCCGCCTCCGGCCCCGCCCACCTCCGCAAGCCACACCCACCGCCGCCTCCGGCCCCGCCCACCTCCGCAAGCCACACCCGCCGCGCCTCCGCAAGCCACACCCACCGCCGCCTCCGGCCCCGCCCACCTCCGCGCAGCTCTTGCACAAGACTTGCAAAGGCAGAGTTTAATGGCGCTTCTTCCATCCCCTGCTGGTGGTTCTGGGGCTGCCTCCAGGCGGAGCGTCCTAGGATGGGACACCCCGTGTCCCCTTGCCTTGACCCAGGACCCTAGAGAGGCCCAGAGCCGGGCCCGTGGCAGTGATGCGAGGCTGGAGTGTGGGGCTGGTCGGCCTGGTGGTGACCCTGGCTCAGGACGGGACATCTCTGTCCCAGGCCACCTGAGACTACGGGGGAAAAGGCTGGGGAGGGCGGTCACATGCTGCTGGCTGTGTTCCAGATGGGGAAACTGAGGCACAGCTGTGGGCTCGGCAGGCTCCGCTTAGCCTCGGTGTCCGGACATCGGTGGGGCTGGGTCGTGACCCAGGACCCTGGCCTGCTGCCCAGTGCGCTTGGTGACCTCCCGAGGTCCCCGCAGGTCCACCTGGCTCCCTGGCGTCTGTCCTGCGGGCTGGCTTGCTCAGTCCACGCGGGTGTCCAGGGCCACGCAGGCTGGGGGTGGCAGGGGACCTGGGATCTGTCCACACAGGGGTCTGGTCAGCTGCGGACCCGCTGCGGGCTCACCTGTGCTCAACCCCGGCAGGGACCGCGGAGGTGGCACCTGTCCCCCGCCCGGCTCGCATGGCAGGGTGGGGCTGGGCCCCACGCTCACCCGGTACTTCAGGTAGGACAGGTAGGTGTCCCAGCCCAGCGTCAGGCAGTTGATGTAGGTGACTCGGAACTGCGGGGGCACGAACAGGAAGTTCACCAGCTGCGCGGCGGGCCACACGCACCAGTCAGCCTGCGGGGCGGAGCGGGGCGCGGTGAGGGGCGGGCTGCCGGGTGGGTGTGGCCAGGGCGGGGGCGGGGCTAGCGGGGAGGCCGGAGCCTTGAAAGATGTGACAGTTTAAGGGGCGGGGCAAGTGGGTGGGCGGGGTCTGGAGAGGTTGGAGGTGCTTGTCTACTGGCGGGCGGGATGGGCGTGGCTAGTGACTGGGCGGGATCTGGACAGTTGGCTGCAGGGGCGTGGTTAGTTGCGGTGGGTGGGGCCTCGGCAACTGGTTGGAGGTGCTTGGTTAGTAGGAGGGCGGGGCTAGGTGGGCAGGGCCAGGTGCGGGGATGGGCGGGGCCTGGGCAGCTGGCAGGTGACCTCCCACCTTGTAGAAGTCCCAGAACTTCTCCCGCAGCTCTTGGCAGCTCTGGTCCAGCGTCTGGCCCTCCAGGCAGCCCAGGCCTGGCAAGAAAACCTAGCACTGAGTCCAAGGCGGCAGAGCACTGTGTACTCGGGATGAGGAGGGTGGGGATGGACCTTGGGGACAGGCTTGGGGCAGAGGGGCCAGGACAGTCAGGTTGGATGGGCTCAGCGGAAGGTGGACAGGACACTTACGAACACGAGCCCTAGAGAGGGAGACACAGCCGCAGGAGAAAGCCGTTTAATTGTTTCTCCATCCCGGCCTCAGGGCCTTTGCACCTGCTGGTGGCTCCCGCTGCGGCTCCTCCTTCAGGTCTCGGCCAGAGTGTCTAACCTCCTTCCCAGGGCCACCCATCATCGACCCCACTGGGTCCCTGAGAGTCCTGCATCTCTCACCCCGAAATGCAAAGCCCAGGCCCCCGGGGGCTGCTTACCCAGGAAGTACCAGACGCCCAGCATGGGCGAGGCCACCAGCTGATCCACCAGCACCTTCCTGAGGACGTTGGGGAGGCCACGCAGGCCCGATGCGGGGAGCACGCGGTCCAGCCACAGGTACCAGTAGTGCAGGAAGGGGCCCATACTGCAGCCCACCGCAAACATGCTGGCTGGGGGCCGAGATGCAGTCAGGGGGGGGGACGCCCCAGCCACACCCCAAGGGCACGTGTGCATGCAGCCCACCGTGCAGAACGCCCGCCCCGTGCAATGAGCACCGTGCAAAACCACCCCGTGCAATGAGCACCGTGCAATGAGCACCGTGCAATGAGCACCGTGCAAAGCCACCCCGTGCAATGAGCACCGTGCAATGAGCACCGTGCAAAGCCACCCCGTGCAATGAGCACCGTGCAATGAGCACCGTGCAAAGCCACCCCGTGCAATGAGCACCGTGCAAAACCACCCCGTGCAATGAGCACCGTGCAAACGCCCGCCCCGTGCAATGAGCACCGTGCAATGAGCACCGTGCAAAACCACCCCCTGCAAATGCATCCTGTGCACGTCACTCAGCTGGACCCTGGGCTCTGGAATCTCGGTGAGGGGCAGAGAGGTGATGGGGACCGGGGACAGCAGGAGACAGACACCGGGGGAGGGAAGGCCCGTGTCCACGTGAATGCAAGCGAACGTCAAGGGTGCAACCAGGGGCTGAGGTCACGGTCAGGGCTCACATCCCGCTGGTGCGGTGCAGGGATCTCCTGATCGGAGGCCAAAGGTCAAGGGTCACCCGGGGTGTAGGGTCACCTGAGCGCCGCGGGTCGAAGGTCTGGCCGGGCCGGGCGCGGATCTCCCAGGACTGGCGGGCTCCATCCCCGGCCGCCATGAGAGCGCCGCAGCCCAGCGTGTTGGTGACAAGCAGCGCGCGGCCCTGGAACAGGGGCTGCCCCGCCGTCCACAGCCCGCGCAGCCACCGCCAGCCATCCTGCGCCATCGCCACCCCGGGACCCAGGAAGCGCCGTGCCAATCCGCCCCGCCCCAGGCGCCGCCAGCCAGTCGCACGCTGTCCTCGTGACCCATGTGCCCGCCCCTAGCCGCACCAACCGACCAATCGCTGATAGCCTCGAGCTGCACTGAGCCCGCCCCGAGCAATATCGACCAATAGTAAGCAGGCTTTGTTTCCAAACCGGAAGGAAGCTGTCAAATACACTGACCAATCAGGAGTGTCGGAAACACATCACGCATGCCAGAGACTGACGTACTCGTATTTGCCCCGCCTCTTTCAGCACCACAGCCTATGGTTAGCCGCCGCCATAGCGCGGCCTGCCAGCACTGGCCATTGGGAGATCGGCGTCAAGTTTTCGTCCCGCCCCCCCGAGTAGCGATGACCAATCGTAGGCAGGCACCGCACTGCAAATTTCCTGGTTCTTCCGGGATGGCGGAGACGGGCGCGCCGTGGTCCCGACCGCTGCGGGGGCGAAAGCGCAGCCCTGCAAAATGTCCTCCAGCTGCGCTTGTGGTGCGCGCAGTCCACCTGCAGCCCGGGCCAGAACCCCAGCTCCGCCTGACCTTGGCCCTGACCTCATGATAATGATGCAATCAACAAACCTGTTTAAAAAAAATTTTTTTTTTAGTGCTGGGGTTTGAACTCAGGCTCTCGCACCTCAACGCTCCACCGTTTTTACGTTTTAGGTTTTTCTTTTAGGTAGGGCTGGCCTCAGACTACGGTTCTCCACCTGTGGCCTCCTACGTGCTGGGATTATAGCAGTGCCCCACCCGCCTGGCTCTTTAATTGAGATGGGGTCTCCCTAACTTGTGTGTGTGTGTGTGTGTGTGTGTGTGTGTCCAGGGTGGCTTTGAACTCACGATCTTCCGGATTTCTGCCTTCCTCCGGAGAAGATGGGATCACAGGTGTGTCCACCGCACTAAAGTCTTAATGGATCCATTTCCAGCAAGATGCAGAGGCCAGGAATTAGGAAGGCACCTGTCCCCGTCCTGTCCTGTCCTGACCCGACCCGCAGGGTCAGTGTCACAAGCACCACGGCCAGGCTGATGACATGGGCGGCCCCCACCCCCCGTTTTCTGAAACTTTCCTATAAGCAGTCCATGATCCCCTGTGCGATCTGCCCAACGAGCTCCTACTCACCCTTCAAAACCCCATTCTCAGTGCTGGTGTTCTCAGGGATGGACCCTAGGCTAGGCCTCTCTAGGGCTCCGGGGAGGGGGGTCGGTTGTCGGCTGTCAAACACGCAGCTGGACACGGTGGCCCCCACGTATCATCCCCGCTCCTTGGCAGGGGAGACTGGGAGCTTGGTAAAAAGTTAGCAAGATGCCATCTCGATCCATAAGCTGGGTGTGGTGCCGCACGCCTGTGATCCCAGCTACTCTGGAGGCACAGGTAGGAGGAAATCCGTCCCAGGCAATGAGGCCCCATCCAGGAGAACGGAGTCACAGAAATCAAAAGGGGGGTTTATTATTTTCCTCAACGAGTGTAAACTGAGCAGCACACGGTGAGGCCCTGGTCGTGGTGGAGCTTTGGGTCCGGGCTTTGCGGTCTATGTAGAAGCTCTGCAGTTGCCGGGTGACGTCCTCTGCTGAGTCCTGGCCCACCGAGCCAGCCTCACTTGTAGCAGACCGTGCGGGGGGAGGCGGGCATGGACGAGCACACGTCCGGCTTGTCCTCGCCCTGGTACAAGTGGCACACGAGGCTGAGGAGCTGGCCGAGCTCTTTCAGAGGTTTCTGCACAAAGCCACAGGGACGGGGGGTCGGGGGTCACGCAGAGCAGGCCTGGGAGCCCAGTGCTCAGGGGACTGAGGCTGGCCTGGCTCAGAGATCTCATGACCGGTGGGACGGGTCCCCGAGGTCACCCCGACCCCCCCCCCCGCCACCGTGCTCACGCCGTTGACGACGACCCAGGGCACGAACTCGTGCGGCGGCTGCAGGGCGTCGGTGAGCTGGGCGTTGTGGTGCATCAGCTGCAGGCCCCGCTCGCCGGTGGCACACTGCAGGATGACGCTGGGCGACACCGGGGGGGCGTACACCTCCAGGCACTGCCGGGGGACACGGGGCTCAGCTTCCTCCCCGTTATCTCCCCACCCAACCCAACCCAACCGTCCCCCGTGCCCAGGCCCATACTTCCCCCTTGGGGACGCTTGTAAATAGTAGGCGCTCAATACGGGCTCCAGTGGAAGCCAGGCAGACCTGACGCCCCTGTGTCGTTTCCTCATTTGCTGGTCACCCCCCCTTTCCCAAACTCCTCAGTGTCCCCAAACCCCACTTGCGTGGCTTGGGTGTTTGATGAGTGAATAAACGATGGTGGCGAATGCCTCACCCTTTGGGGACTTCTTTTTCGTACTTGGCGACTTATTTTTCACCCCCGCCCCTCAGTGGGGCGGCCCAGTGAGAAGGAAAGGCCTCGGGGTCACTCCTAACACCGCACACCC